GTCGTGAGCCTCATAGAGAATACGGTACTTCAAATCCTCATCGTGAGGAATTATAATTCGTGGCGTATCCGTGAAGTCGGTGCTGTTTTTTTATACGGCAATCCTTTTTTCAACGAATATCAGTGGACCCGTGCGCGCAGGCGCGACGATAGCTTCCAGTCCGAGACTTCGAACTTCTTGCTCCCGAGAGCCTGTAGCTGCGCTACGTAACATATCATTGCCCGCGTTCGCGGCACGGGATCAAAATCATCACTGTCGACGTCACCGTCGTGACATGAGCAAGCTCATAGTCCGGTATGCGTGACAATGCATCAACCAAAGCACTTTGCTTTCCTGGCTTATACTTTACCACGAAATTTATATCCCGCGAAGAAGAATAGCCTCTGCAAGAGGTGAGGCGACTGAGTCGCAGTGCGCAGTGACACATGATATGTGTAGATCACAAACGTTTTAGAGTCGAGCAAGTATACCCTGAACATGACAAGTCCATACTTCATCGCAAATAATTTCTGGTCATAGACTGGGTAGTTCTTCTCCGCGGCCTTAAGTTGGCGAGATTCGAACGCGGTCACCTGATCACGCCCTTCGGCGTCTGCTCGCAGCAAGGGCCGATGGCAAAGTGCGAAGTGTCCCAGACGACACTTAAGGACGATCGGAATTTGCCAACGCCAGTATTGGTGCATGAAGGAGGCTGTCTTTGACCCCTTCAAAAAGCCTCCCGATGCTCGGTGTCCCAACACCATTCCGCATCTTCTTTAATGAGAGTCGTGCAAGTAGTTCGCGAGGCCAAGCCACATGCGGAAATCCTTTTGGTTCTTTGAAACCGACCCGTCCACAATGGCCTTAACCTCAGTGTGATTCACTCAAAGACCACGCTTCCCAATGAAGCACTTGAAAGGGATTTCTTTGGCGCCGAAGATGCACTTGCCTGCATAAGCGTACAGCAAAGTCATGCGTACCGCTTTCAAATGAACGATGTGATTTTACTCATCTGTCCTCCCGTGCATCGCACGACTGTGGCAGAAGATGTCGGCGAACGATGACTGTGCATACACCCGGTGCGTCACAAGACAATTAAATGTTGCTGGTACATTTGACAGCCCTTGGAGCATCACCAACCACTCCCAGAGCATCCAGTTCGAAGTACTCACCACTGTCGGCGGAATATCACTCGATCTCATGAGCAATTGGTAATACCCTTCGACCAAGTCGAGCGCATACACCCAACCATGTTGTTCTGAAGAACATCCGTCCTAAGAATCGGCGTCTGTTCCGGAATGGTGGCAGCGTTGAGCTTATTGTAGGCGTGAACGACACGCCACTTGCCGTTCGGTTTCCGGACACAAAACGTGGGGGTCGAATGAGGAGACCTGCTCACACGCACCGTTCCTTCGTCGTGTCTCGCACGGAAGAAGGCGTCAATGACGTCACACTGCCCCTTAGGCAGGGGTTATTGGCGTGTGTTACGCAGTATTTGGTTTCCGGACCCAGGCAGATCTCATGACGCACACTTCAATTCGAAGATAAGACCGACGGCGGGTCTCTGAAGACGATGTCTTGAATTTTCTTTACCAAAGGATAGTACGGATCCGATAGATTTTTTTAAGACTCAAGATCCGCTTTGTGCGTTCAGCACCTTCTTGGCGTCCTCCGTAACAGCTTCATCCAGAAGCGTCGACTAGTCAATCTCCTCGTCCGTATAATGTCCATTTCGGTTAAGTCGCCTGCCTTCAAGGCACCGCCCAACCCTTCGGGGACATCTCGTCCAGCTCAAAAAGAGCATCCACCGCGGGAACAGCCTCGAGGATGACGTCACCGTCTTCCTTCCTCGTCATACCTTTGACGAGGGTGTATAGCTGTGCGGTTTCGTCTACAGTCGACACATCCTGGGTCAGGATCGATGCCCGGCATCTTGCAGTGACTATGTGGCATCTTCGTTGCCTTTCTACAGAGGTTGGACGACAAGTCGAGACCAGTGAGAGCTCGCACCTAGTGTCGCCCAGTGTTCCAACTACCTGCTCCCCATAAGCTCTGATGTCATCAACAACATCCGACGATGAGCTGCTAGCTTCACAGTCTTTGTGCAGTGGATAAAGTGCCACTCTAAACGCATCTGAATGCCCATGCCACGTATAGTATGCAGACACTGCTCCGAAACTTACGCAGTGCTCAGTGGGTTACGTGCCATTCCACGTTTAGCCCGCGAGCCATGCTCGAAACTCCTGTCCGATACGCCTTTGGCGTTCACCAACTCGGATAATCCAATTCCCAGTACGTTGACCTTCTCGGTCTGATCCCCGCGCCAATAGCGTTTTTGCCTCCTAGCGTTGGTGTAATCATTTCTCACCAAAGCTTCACCAGGAGACGTGCGTGTAGCGCCCAAGTTCTTCGACAGTTAATCGATCCATGACTAATGGTGTTCCAACCATGCGATACCAAGGATGAGGTCATACCTTTAATCCAAGTCTAAGGCTTAGCAGCGATATACGCTATCAAAGTCAAGAGGCTTGACACCGAGGCCCACAGGGACCCTTGGAACCGTGTGACACATGTCCCCGTCGCTAAGCGAACAGTGACGATGTCACTTAACCGCGCTTTCAGCGCCTCACCATACAGCTGACTTCTTTCGATTGATGAGCGTCGAGCATAATTGCCCGACGCTCCGGAGTCGATCAGGATCTTCCATGGCTTTTCAAAGCCCATCACGGTCGCTTTCTCGACCAGCAAGCCCGGCTTGCATAAACGTTACGGGCTCAAGAGCACAGAGCTCTTTGGAGCTGGGCCTTGCTGGCCTCTACCTCTTTGAAGCTCCCCAAAACTCAGCATTTCTTCAGTCGGCTGTCTTACGCCTACTTAGTGTTGTCGGTTCCGCGCAACAAACCAGAAGACTGGAAAGAAGTGGGACGTCGGTTCGATGAACCTTGACGGGCCTATTGCAGGGGACAATCAGTCCGAAGGTGACGGGTATTAGGCAAATCACCGTCATGAGTTCGAACGCAGCCCGGCGGTCCGGAGCTTCGCCGCTTTTCTCAGAATAGCTGAGATCGATCGGCCGAAGCCCGCTCGACAAGCTACAAGAGTGTGCAATCCAAACAAGTCGTACCGACTTAAAGTTGGATTCGGCATTCAATGCCACATTCACTTTTTCTTCAAAAAAAGTCGGATGCACATGGAAAACTTCCATTTTGGCCACACTAGTGGAGAGGTTATTCATTAAGACGGTCACTATGATCGTCTCGGGAAGAGGAAGGGCTGCCATACCGGCAATGAGAGTACGCAAGGCTTATACAAAGTCCAACAATTCCTTTTTGCCTTGTCAGGCGACAAAGAAATGCGATCGCACGCGATATGCCTTGTTAGGCGGCTAGAACACTCACAAAAGCTGCGGCTTCAGCTTCGTCCAGGGGGGGGAACGCCGCTTCATCCGAAGTAACGCATGCCCATTCTTGCGCTTGACCACTGAGCTTGGAAAAAGCCAGCGCCACGCGCTGTTGCTCGGTCTGAGGTATTGCGGGCGCCATAGCCATCTCGGCCTTCTTACGCAGAGCAAGATATTCTTTCCATCCTTGCCTTCAAAGTTATTAACGCTCACCATGAGCAGCCTGAGTCGGGTGGAGTAATCCGTCGTCGACGGTGGCGTCGTGGATGAAGTCGACGCCAACATCTTCGGCTGTAGGTTTTTTAGCAGAGCATTTTTATAGCTCAATTACGCCTCAAGGCGCGCGCTGATCGCTTTAAGCCCTAGCAAAGCGAGATGTAATGAGCCCTCAGGGCCAAGCAGAGACATCAGCTTTTGGAGCCCATCATTCATGCCTTGGGGCAAATAGGAGAGCTACACCATGTTCACAGAGGATTTGACGTAACGACTCAGATGTAGATTGACTACAAGTGCTGCCAAGTACAGCGGGGCTGCCGTAGCTCTTTACTTGGAGGAAGCTTAGTTTAGGGCACCGACCTTCGTTCTTTACTGGATCCAGTACGAGTGTAGCGGATCGCAATTTGCTAATCCCAAGAGTACCCACACCCTTAACCATGTAAGTACACTCTTCTGTTCAAAATTCAAGCTGTACTGTTTGTTTTCTTTGCGGCAGAGCCGCCTTTATCAAAATCTATTAGTTTTCCTAATAAGATAGTAAAACCAATGTAATATGCATAATTACCGGTAGTCCAGCCACGAAGTGGCATCTTGTTACGGTGTAGCCACACCATTTGGATTACACCGTTTTCCGTTATCCACACCTTTGTATGGTCACACCATCTTATGTGACCCACTCCATCATACAAGGTACGTGTAATCTCTGTACACTTCATAAACTGATGTCAAATGGTGTTGGGGTACGAACAATGATTCAGCGTACAAGGCTGTATACGATGGTCTCATGTGCGCCCCACATCTGGCCATACCAATATCGATACGTCATTTTTAAAGTCAGGTGTGACGATCAGCTTCCACAATAGGCTATGCTTATAAATAACACTATAGCGTCAGACAACATGGTTTTTGTTACCTCACAAACGGCGAGAAAAAACGCCCCTGTCCTCGACGAAGAGCTTTTTCCAGTGAAATTTGCACTTGTCAAGTTCAGGCCCGACTAGCCCGGCTTCAAGCATCTCTGTCCTTAAAGTAAGCGAGATTCAAAGGAACTGTATGTTCATGTTAATTGGCAGCTGTTTGGAGTGCGGCAAAGCTAATAGCAAATACTGAAGCATCACAGACGACATGGATTGCTCGAGTCGTATTTAAACATGGCAGGATCAAGGAACACATGAGTTTTTTTTTACATCTTTTAAAATCGTCGTCCACGTCCCGAAACCATTTGACATCGCATCTACAAAAGCCGATTAAATGACGTGTCGTTTCTGTATGATCCGCACCTTACTTAGGCACGTAGTCGGTCAGAAAATATTACTTCCTCTCTCCCGCTTGAGGACAGATGTATTCGCTTGCTCATGACAGCCAGGTCTTTCCAGAATCTGACTGCAGGAAATGTATTCCTAAAATGTCTCTCGAATTGGGTTTCATCTGCGCGGAAGACACACTCGGCTATATTAACGAACAGGAAGCTAAGGGCATACATTCAGCTACTCGAATTCCAGGTGTTCAAGACAACCATGGACGAATTTGGTGTCGTAAAGATTTGTTTATATGCGCGATGTAGCTTTAACAGCTGTGGCAAAAGAACTGGATGTCTCTGGCATATTAGAAAGCCCCTGAGGCGTAGCAGCATCCCTGAAATATCCAGCCTAGAGATCGTGCTGCGGCGAAAGGTGGGGTCACTAGCATTAAATATACTCTCAGCTACGCCATGGTATGCCGCCGGCCATGATGTTGTGTGAAGCAATCTGTCCCAAAGTTGGCGTTTACGTCGAAGAGTGGCTTATTACACTGCCGTCGACCTTTTTGGCACAGATAACTGGCACCAATTTATGATATGTATCTTTCTCAGCAAACATGTTTCGTGTCACGATTAACTGAAAGCGGTTATGACGTCAAACTGATCCCTTATGATAATTATTGCCGATGAAGGCTATTTTGACTCAGTAAACCAAGTCATAATTTCAATGCACTACCTTTCTCGAAAGTCACACGAGTGGTGAATATGTTTTCAACACGTCGTGTAATTATTTTAACACAGGCTAGAAAGGATTCTTAGGGTCCAAGAGGATACAAGTCATACTCCTCGCGCGCACTCATGTGCAAATATCCACAGTGACATTTTTTATGGATGGTGAGCTCAGCTCCTCTTGCGGTGCTAACCGTACAGTTTCAGTCATGCAACTCATTGCAGATGCACCTAAAAAATCCGGGCAAACATAAGGCTTGAATTTACAATTTATTGAAGCACTTCATTTAACGCGCCGCAGCACCATTTACAATCATTATAATATAATGGTAAGATCGCTGAGGAGTCATGCCATGTCAACACAACTTTCATACTTTTGCAATTTTTGGTCACGCCACTCACTCAGACCCATTAGGACAGCAAAACTACATCGTGATCGATGGTATTTATTTGTTTAGTGAATAAGCCTGCTACAATCCTTCGCAGAAAATCAACCTAAAATAGAGACCTTGCCGACGCAAAAAGTCACACGTGTCAATATTGACGAGTATTTAATTTGGTACACAGTCTCTAAACGGCTCGTCTAAAATTATTGTGGCTCTGCAAATCCAAGTTTTGTCGTCTGTAAGGCTGGCGCGTAACGTCTTGCGTCGCAAAATGATTGAGCGATGGCGGTGCGTTAGCTAGTCCTCCCTGTCAGAAACTCTTGAGCATTTCGTCGAATACTCGTTCCAGTGACGGACGTTGCTTGCATAGGCAGCTGATGAAAATCATCAACGACTGAACAATGATTAACTGACCGTGCTGTCGGCAGCAAGATTTTTCTTTGAATCATTGTTAGCGCCGTTGTGTTGCTGAACTTGTATTATCATTAGCTGATTCACTCGCTACTTGACCTTAGCATTTTTGACGCGAAAGTCAGCCATGGGTAGGAGGATTCACTTTCTATTCCGACCCGATTCGTGCTGTGCACAAAGAAATCGTCATATAAAAATACTTTGTACCCTTGTGTGTGGGCCAGCGTCGTATGACGCAATGCAATCGCAAGGTCAACCGGGACAATACGCCCACAAGTAAGTAATTGATCTAGCCACATTCCCGAGAAGCGTTAATTTCAGGAGTTGAGAATGGAAAACTGTTTTGCTGACTCAGCATTCATCGTATAGTCTGGCAAGGATGGGTCATCCTAGATATGGCCCTTATACTTGCGACTTAACGTCACCCCGCGATATCATGGCACATAATTGCTCCTACACAACTCCACTGCCTCAAGCTCATGAGACTCTTGCTAACAGCTCGGTCAAAGATATATGAGAGATCAGATTACTGCGACATTCCGTCGATGGAATTGGTCTAGATAAGGTATATCGTTAAGACAAAGATACACAAGGGCTTTGAAATCTTGGCTTACTCTCGCTTCTGCGTCCAGACACCTGGTAATACGATTGACATCAACAATAGAAATTCCCATGTTTGACACGGAGCTTATCGCAGCTCGCAGATCCGTGCCTATGCCAAAAAAGTTTTTCTAGCCAGAGGTGGGTTCATGACTCACTGACGCTCCGCAATGAAGAAGTGCATGTAGCCTAATTTTTTTGACTTAACACGATATTATCTATCAAATAAAGGCAAGTCGAAAAAACGAACCACGCTGAGGAGATAATAATGCCCACCTTTCTACATTTTGACCGGTGTGCCCATCGGAAAACGCATCGACATCGTATCTGTATTTGGCATCTCCAGTGCCTCACCAAATGATCTACCCAATTAAATGGGTGCGTAGTACTTACCAGCCGAATTCTCCTCCTTCAGACAGGACTTCCCACGTTAACGCGCCATACAGACGTTGCATTAACGTTATATAGCCCTGGGCTGTGACCCAAACCGCATTGAATGGAATTGCATCTTTACGACCACTGCGATGTACGAGCCCAGAATATAAGCAGTAGGCCGCGTTGCGCCTACTGAGATATGACGCTTCCACTTGAGGGCTTGTCGGCGACCTTGCGTGGAAAATCAATCTTTTTTACATTTTTTGCCGAGAGCCAAGAGGAGCACAAGATGGAAATGCAAAAAACTTTCACAGCTGAGCTATTTGCAGCTACGAAATCACCTTCTTGCTTCTCAACATGTCTGAAACTCATTTTTCCGGCTTTCGAACAGTGCTACCACTAACCGTATCCAAATTAGTCATCGCGGCGAGGAAGCGGTACCCCGTGCTCAGTGCAACACTCGCTATTTCGTTAAAAGATGTAAGGTTGATGAAAACGGTCTTGGCACGACCCGCATTCATTGAAAGACTCGCCATTTAGATGGTAGGTATACCTTACAAAATTGATACGATCGTAAGTCATACAATTGTACGATTATTCACGTGGAATTGTGGTGTTTTGTGATGAGATTATGAAGTATAATAAAACGGATTTAAATTAATATGAAAGCGATTAGATTTCGAAAAGAAGGGGTTTATGAACTACTTGGGATGCTAGCCTCACATTAATGAAGACAATTTTATTACGAGATATACAAGTCGCTTTGAATCAGTACTAGGCTTAAATAGCTCTAATTTTTTTCTCGTAATTGTAATTCGCAATGCATATACCATGAAAAAGCTGATTTGAGACCTAGTAACGAAAGCTGATTTTGGTCACGCTTCTTGTAAGCAGGTATTGTAATCAAACCCACGACCGTGTTGTGAACAGTTTGAGGAATGCGTCCTCTGTGATGACAGCATCTAAAATGTTAATGTGATTGTACCCAGGACACCTAAACCAGCTGTTCAGCTTGTGTCTGTTATTGACCCTGTCAAAAACGAGGTTTTGGCGGCCAAAAGTCGATGATTGGCGCTATTTGCTTGGAAGCATATCAACCGGGTGCTAGCAGCAAATCCGATGATACCGTCCAAGATGCTGATGATGCTAATCTTCTTAGTTTTTACACGATATATATAAATAGTATGTTTGTATGCTGACGGTGGAAGTTGAAGCAGTCATGAAGTCAGACCTATTTTAAACAAAGTAACAGCGCGCCTTGCTTGCGGCCTACAAGCTAGGAAGCCGCACACAAGTATGTACACTAACAGTAGTTCCTTGATAAAGGGACAATTCTTACGTGGCCAGGTTTGAAACAACCGTTGTCCTAGGCGTTCGCACCACCTAATTTGTCGTATTTGGTATGTTGGAAGTTATTGTCCATCTCAAGGGTGGCAAAATATGTTCAATAGTCAAGAATTTCTGTCACCGCAAAGGCGATAGAGCCTTCTCAGGGGTTGCAAAAGGTTATCGTTTTCATGGTGTATCTTTGAACGGGCGTACCTCAATCGAGGCACTCCGCGTCGACTATCTTCAGTAGTTGTTGCTTGAAGTACGAAAAACAACTTCGTGCCACGAAGGCCGGATGGGATACTGAAAGTGAAGCATCTTCGAGCACGCCAAATACGGTAAACATCGGCCATACTCAATTGAATAATTGATCTCTTAGCTGCTGAACAGATCTGCGGTAATCAGAAGGAAGGATCAGGCTCCCGCACAAGTGCAGCCGTAGAATTAGTCAGATAATTGAGATTTTATTGTGCTTCAATGTGATCATATCCAGTCTCCAAAGAAGCGAGATCCTCAAGCAGGGTGGGGTTCATTATCAAGGCTTGTTTTATGCTACCATCAACGTTCCGGACCATGTTAAGCCGTGGAAAGTCCTGAAAGAATAAAGAACGATGCCTATTTACCTAGAAAGCGCTACTGTCAGACACAGACGACATATTATCATGGCATTAAAGATGTCACATACGGATAGAATGTCCGTGCGTCGTTCGTAGAGACACTGGTAAGTCTTTAAAGATTGTGTCAAAATAATCAGTGAGAGATAATAGATTCAATAGCATCAAACACTGTATAGCTTCAAATCTTATTTGAAATCACACTTCGCACAAGATTCGACGTGACTTGAACCCCACAATCCATGAATCGACTGGAAGAAAGAAAAGTTACGTGTCGCTTTTTTTCTGACGAGGCTTCGACGAGACATGAATAAAAGCAGAGTGCGATTAAGAAATCTGTCTTTTTGCCAGAAAGCAAAGAGCGGGTACGAAGCTGCAAGCTTCTGTGCAAGACATGAGATTATTCGAAATGTAAAACTGCTGGATCCTTTGAGTGGAGATCGGGATGCAGAAGGGACGTTTAGCCACGGTCTCATGGTGACATGGAATAAAACAATTTCTTATAGTGGTCGCCGAAGTATATATCTGTTAGAACTAGACAGAGTAGAGTATGGCGTGTCCTCAAGATCGTAGTTCTGGCGGAACGGCTTCAAATAAATGTGAGTAGCTTTCTCTCGCGCCAGGACAGGTGGGGAGCGGAAACAACTGGGTGTAGCTTCTCGTGAGATTAAGCCGGTGGAGAACGAAGGGCAATTGAAGTCGGGATCAAGGGTTTTGACTATGAAAATAGACACGGATCGCTTACACTTGTCGTGATGTGACGGAATTGCTGAGCTGTTATAACAGTGTTAGGTATCAACCTTGCAAATCAGTGTAGCTTTACGGGTAAAAGTCAGAAATGATGATATGCTCGTGAACAATTAAGAGAAACCGAATAATTTTTACAAGCTGTGAGCCACCTATCATTGCTTCCAACAGAAGCATAATACAGCTGGAAAAGATATGTTTTGGGGATATGCTGAGATGCAAGATGGAGAGTTCTTCAAAATGGTAAGATTATTTTCGGAGTGAAGCTCAACTCGTCATTTGTCAAAGATGATCTTACATTTAACACACTTGCGAATAAATGCGTTCGAAGAGCTTGCTTGGTATTGTCACGAATCAAACGTATCCCTCTTATCTTTTGTTTAAGGAATATCACGGCGTGGTGAACATAGACCCACCACGTGGTTATCTTCGAACGTTGGGAAATCGTCGAGATTATGATTTTTTTCGGGTTATCATTACGTCTCATGGGAGTACTGGCCAAAGATAGGCTGTGTGACGTCACTACCTCCTCAATCTGTTTAAAGGGCAGAAAAGCTTTGATGGGAGATAATAAAGCTCATAACTCGTCGCTGACTGTCTGAGTCGGAAAAGTTAACGACATGCGGTAACTCGTGCATGCTCAGAATAAGCTAAACATAGCCGCGATTGGGCCGCAAACGCCAGCATTGCAGAATGATGATGGTCAGATCAAAACTGATCTTTGATCAATGCTCACGACCTGGACTATAAATATCATTGACCACTGATGAGAATCCACAATTTTGTTGAGTACGCCGAGAAAAAAATCTTAATGGGTGATTCTATCTTTAATTCATATAATGAGCGAGGGATGCTCAATCGTCTGGTGTCAAAGCTGCCGATGCATGCGGCGGGCGCTCCAGTAACTGAAGATGGTCTGATGATTACGCTTCTCGCAAGTTTGAGCGAGTCTGTTGCGTTCCTAAGCATTGCGTAAGATTCAAACTACGACTCGCTGACGTGGGAAATCGCGACATCTCGGTTTCATATAAAAGCAGGGAAATTTGGATGCGCGGGGCAACACTAAAGATCCTAGAAATAAACCATTCGCGAATATGCACATTGTGAATTTGGCCTGGTCAAAATTCCCTTTTTTGTTGTTTAGTTGGATGTGAGGCACTGTGGGGAACATTTAGGACACTGAATTTGGCCATTGCCTCAGTCTTTGAGACTGCGGGAGTGTCGTGCTACGAGCCAATGTGGCTTTGTTTTCAAAAAGAAGTTTTTTTTCTTACGTTAGCTCGGCTACCCACTGAGTGTCATGCGCAGGGTGCGCGGTGCTATGACTGTGGGTCATGGGTTTTAATAGCAACATAGGGGGGCGAAAGAGACAAGAATATGTCTTGGGGCAACAATCTATGGAATACTGACACATGCGAGGTCTGTGTTCTATTAGTCAAAGCTGTGACCGCAACGCTCACAATCAGAGCATAAAAAGATTGATATGTACATTTGAGACCATAAATAATATGAACGCATCCTGTTCTCTATGGATGTATGCTGTACCTATGTCACGATCTCCCTGAATGTTAAGAGCTATGTTGCGAACGAAGCAGCGTCTACACCATCCCATGTAGCCAGGCGACCATCTGCACCAGAGCAGCGACGCGGATGGCGGTACGCAGTGCGATGGGAAATTTAGAAAGCGCGTCTAGTCTCTGGTCAAATCATTTTTGAGATATCGCCATGATTTCGGATTGGGTTAATGCGTTTTTAAACCGAGAATAATTACGCGGTCCAGATCAGAATGGTTGTCTTCTACCAGCAGTTCTTGTTGGTCAAGAGGTGGCGCACTTCTGCGTGAAGTGTGTAACAGATCAGCGTTTATACCAGGTCTGCTGTCGGTATTTGAAGATGTGGATGGGACATCATAAGGTAGCGTATCTAATTTCGGATGCCACTACGGCAAAAAAGCCTTGTACCATTACTGCATACGACCAGAGGTAGCCTCAGCTTTTACAGTTGGGACGAGGCAGATTTGACCCTTGAATAGTGCTTCCTGTTAGTGCCTTGTGACCGGAATTGTCTGCAGCCGCCACAGCTGTTATATGGAGAGGATGGAGTTCCTAAAAAAAGGAGCCAGAGTTCAGGAAATTTCCTCGATGTTCGTGTCGTGCGTTGCACTTCGTAAAGCCACCCCCACGACAACGCTCAAGATGGATGCCTGTTCCAATGATGCTGGCTCGCAACGCCAAAAGACGGAAGATACGTTGATTTTTCACCCAGTGCGCGGGTTGATTATAACTTCCCCATCGTTCTCGCCAATCTTTAGTGCAAGAGATATATCTCACATGGGAACCTTAATTTTTTTCCATACGCCAGTAACCTAAGCGTGTGCGGTAATTCTGATGAGTGATAAGCTGTGGGATTACATTAGTATTCGCGGGGCGACATATGTTACTCATATTGATCTCAGTCTAGACGGATAGCCTAAAATCATTGTAGCGTATGGGCACTGCCCCGGTGCGGCGAGCAACTCAGACAATTAAGTAAGACCATATTCGCATTGTGTTGATTTTTGCAAACTCTGACCCTTGCACTTTCAGATATCCTTCTTGAGCCCGGTCTAGCTCGTTTGTGAATTACTAAATTTGATCGTAATCTCCACTGCACAGAGTAGCAACACTCACTGCCGACGAAAAAGGGAACATAATTTGATATACGTGAAGACAAGGGCAATGAGATACATCTCCTGAAGGAGGTGTATCTCATTGTGTGTAGTCGTGTGAGCCCATGCTCAGGATTGTTTGTAACTAAACTTGTTCTGATTGGATGACGCCTCCACATATCCACCACGAATTTTCTGGAGCGCGTTGGTAGCAAGAAATGGGTATTTTCTTAGATCTCGCAATATCATTGTCTTGATATGCGGATGAGGCCTACCAATGCAAATATGCCTTGAAAAACAGATACGGTTAAGTACAGTTAGTCCGGGTGCAGTGGTTGCTTTTGCAGCAGCCGCTTTTGCACAGTGTCATTAAAAGACAACGTAGATATGGATGTCTGTGTCATCCGCATCTTAATGGATTTGGGTGTAACGGTGCTATTACTGTAATCTTGTCTGCTTATTCCTTACACTTTCAAAACAATTGGTCTGGATACAATACACATCAATTGAACGAAATTTATTTGTAATTATGAATGAATGTCAATAAAACCGCGGTATCAGTAGTTTTTGGTGATGAAGACATTTAAATAAAGGGGCCCGTAGAGCACGTGACCTACTAGCCGCACGTTACATAACTAAGACAATCTTTATGAGATATAGCAATCGCGCATGACCAAAATTGATATAAAGAGCTTTAATTGTAGATATGTAGTCTTCTAATAACTAGCTGACTTACGCTTAGGTACGGTAAAGGCTTCTGTTTTGTTCTTGATCGAATCGCACAAACCCAGTCGTTGTGTGATTGTAATATAGAATCTTTGTCAACGCTCCTTTCTGCACAAAGCATGGAAATATGCTTAAGTAATTCCTACCGGCTTCGAAACATGGTCCGTTACCATTGCAGCGCTAAAAGCTCTTTGCTACTGGAAATTGTCAGCTAGTTCTCACCGCCGTTGTCATTTGGATAAGATCTTAGAATTTACGCTCAAGGTCTGGTTTGGCCTTGCGAACACTCCCGCCATATGCCGCTTCAAATCCTTCCATATTTGCAAGCCAATTTCACAAACGTACAACACCTTCTCGCGCTTGAGCTAATGTTGCCTATAGTTTGAGTATGGCGGGATTTACGGTCATATTACCTTCTCTCGTCCAAAAATGGAGGATTTCACTACCCCGGCCCTAAAAAGAGTGGACTTTTATGTAATGGGTAGATTTTATTAGACACGTTGTGGGGAATAAATACTTTGTATGTCTATAATTAAATGTACAACCTGTATAGTTTTGTATTCCCAGTCAATTCTGTTGTATCAGAAGTGGAAGTTTTTATCAGGTTAGAGAAAGTAAAATCCATTTGCCCTAATGATAAATGTCACATCATCTTTTCTCCTCTCTACAGTAGTCAACGGCCCGCTGGAAGCGAGCAACACGCAGTGAGGCGTTTCAGTTGTTTGAAGTCATTCTCAGAAGAGGGTGTGTGCACGGACGGGCGATTCCCGTTAAACTAAACAGCTTTAGTGGTCATTCCAACGCTGTCTACTTCGATGGATTTATCGGTTTATAACATGGAAACATAGTCCTTGGATCAATAGGAAAATCTTTTGTCTCTGACACACTCGTAGTGGGAGTATGTGATGAGGCCCGATCGGTCAACTCAATCAGCCGCTGGTTTATCCTTAAAAAATCTTGTCAAACTTTATCGAGCGCAGTTTCAAGGCAGACAAAGGCTGTGGTAAGCCACGGAAGAAGCAGACGGAACGCCCGCTCCGAAATCTTTCCCTCTTCTAGATCGACAAAATGTTGATATATGTGGACACCGCGGGCGGCTGCCGTCCTCGGATCAATAGGATTTTCTTTTGTTTCTGACACACTCGCAGTAGGAGTGTGTGTGGTGAGGCAAGGTCGGTCAGCTTGATCAGCCGCTGGCTTATCCTTAAGAGCAGCTTCTCAAACTTTGTCGAAGGCGATTTCACGGCAGACAAAGGCTGTGGACCAGCCACAGAAGAAGCAGACAGAACTCCCGCTTCAACACCTTCCCCTCTTCTAGATCGACAATAAAGTTGATACAACCACGTCAAGAATGTGGTGACGGTGGGGAACCTCCGCTGTCGGAAGCAGCTCTTGATAAAACGGCAGGGGTATATGGTGAGCGAGAAAACGTGGAAGCCTCATACCCGTACCCATCGCGACTGTCCCAAGATCGTGCGCGCACTCGATGCAATTCTGGAGACAAACTCCACTCTGGAAAGCTGTCCCTTACTCTTTTCCTCTGTCCACCGCGATGTAAAGCCGACTGATGACCAAGCGCACTTCACGGTCTTCCTCGATATTGGAGTGGACTCGATTCTGCGCTGTCAAATGCGCAAATAAAAAGCGCAAATTGCACACCTTTAATAAGTCAGCATCGGCGCTTGCGCTTTGCAAAAGGTAGGAAATCGCGGATTTGGTCGCATGGGCCCATGCTCATAATCGAGTAGCGATTGTCTGTATAAAATCCAAATTGGATTGCTTGACGTATAGAACGTTCATGGAGCTTCTTGGTTTGCCTCCAGTATGAGTAATAAGTCTGACGACGCGAAAATGCGCGACTCGAGTCACCAGTCGAGCATCCATTTGGTCAATGCGTTTGTCGAACTATAACGTGATATCATTACATCGTTTATAAAAGACATCGTGATGATCACGTTCACGATAGCGCCAACGCGTTAGCAGATGTGTTATTGGAGCAATATTTAAGTTCGATTGTCTCGAGAATTTCATGTGGAGCAAGCGTGCGGGTTTTTAATGTTGGACAGAGAGTGACGAAGAGCAGAAGAGGAATTAGACGAAGAGTAAAGAGAATTTTAATAATTTGGGGAAATTCACGTTTGAGTGGGGGATTGTAATGAGCCGAGGTCCATTACATAAGTTTTGTAAACCAAGTACATTGTGCATCTAACATTAACTGTGCGCCCTATATTGCTGTATATCTCCTTTCTGTTCTGCTGTATCAGAACTGGAAGTACTAACCAGCTCAGGGAGGTCGAAAGCCTATTAGCTGTAATAATAAACGTCACTTATTTTTCTCCTCTCTACGTAGGTCAACAGCCCGCCGGAAGCGAGCAACACGCGGTGAGGCGTGTCTGTTGACCTTCCTAAAAAATGTGTGTACATGGAGGAGTAATTCTCGTTAAATCCTCCCTATGATTGGTGCCGATTATGCTTCTATATCGCCCAGTTTTGGCGCTTCTAAATGTATTACACTGACCCATAATCGAATCTGGTGAAGGCCTCCTGGCGATCTATGACTGCGTGTGGCTCTTGGTCGCCAGTTACCTCAACTTACCGATATCCACAGCTGACGTAAGCGTGTTGAGCTGATCTATATATCCCAGGGTCAGGCAATCGAAATTTTGTGATCCATCTTTGCAGTGGTATTGACAACAAGTAAAACCAAGTGCAACGATGATATCTTATACTGTGTACAGAGAAAGCTTTGACTCGAAGACACCGCGTTAGCAGATTCACCTACAATGGGTGCGTGCTTCTACCAGGAGCTTCTTAAGATATTCATTTCAGAATTTAATGTTACTCTAACAGAATATTGATTACTTTGGTAATCTTATTTCTGGCCAGCCTACGTGTACCATCCATTATCCTAATAAATACCAATATTTATATTTATGGTACTCTAATTATTTACAGTGACGCCAAGTGTAATATGAATTTCGTACAACTATTCGTACCAAATGTGAGGGTGGAAATGCACAAATTTACAATACTTGCCCTATTAGAAAAGGTAATTTTTCTAGGTTAATTTTGAGTATATACGTTTACCGTATCCCATTATTGCGAATTTTTATGACGTATGGCTCACCCCTTCCATCTTCATGATCCGTATATTTCATGAATTAAAAATTCTTATACAATGTGAATTTCGTCTGATTGATCAACGTCTTCGTCTCAAAATAGTATTGATCGTTTGCTGAGCCTGATCTTAAAATGGAAGCTCGATCGAAAAGTTTATTTTAATATCATGTTTAGCATGGATAAATAATCCGGAGGACCCTTTATGTAAGCCACAACACCTGTTTCGAGCTATCCAATGCCTATCTATATATTGCGTGACAAAGACACTGGTACCACATACTTTATCAGAGCAACCACATCAGTTTTTTAAGCCACCACTAGTGTTGTGATGGCTCATTTGGTGCTGAGAAAAGCAGAACGGAGCGAAACCTGCTGTGGTTTCGCAGATTCGTCAACAGACGTAGTACTTCCATACTACGTCTGTTAATACTATCAAAGTTCGCTAAAGGAATCTGCAAATCGAGACTCGAGCAAGAATAAGTCTCATTAAATGTGAGTGTAATGTGACCATTTACAACTCCCTTCTCGTGGGGCTCTCAAGACCTCGCCTATTCACCAAGTTACATGAAAGCTGAAAATGCGATTGTGTTGTAAGTAATGGAATATTACTCTGACATTACCATGTTCACTGTGCTGGCTCTTACATTACAGCGTGTTAGCTAATGACGGGTATTCATAAGCGATCAGCCGAAAAACGGTAAACTTAGACGCTATTTCTACACCAAAATGAGATCAAGTCAGAATGTACTGATATTGTAACAGCTCAAGCAGCTACAATAATATGTTGTGCCCTATATTACAACCTCTACGACTCTATTCGAAAGGTTTTAGTGCGTAATCCTTTGGCAAGGATGGACGGAAATAAATCATACCCTGTCATCATCGAATTTGCTCTAAGCAACTAACTCAATAAACGACAAGACCGACTTTATGGCTTTCGAGAGCACTGTAGAGATCACGCGCGGTGGTGTGGAAACGAAACATGGTGCATTAAAGGAGAATCCTGTCAGTGAGACTGAGTCTTTTGATTTAGTTTTTGCTATCCCAGCGCCTATTACCATTGTGCGCTCTAATATCGCAGCCTTTGAGGAGGATAGCGTTCGCACGTTACTAACGCGTTACGAAGGCGTAGATGTGCTTCCCAAAGGTTGGCGTCAAGGCCCAAGCAGCAAAGGCATTCAAGTGGTATATGGAGAGGTAGCTGGTAACGGTAGTGAGTGGTACACAATGAAGACTACTGCTACGTTAAATGTTACCGCAAGCAAGGCCGCACGCACTCTTATGCGCAACGATATGGTTCCAAAGTTTGACGAGATGACGAAAGAAGTCAAAGTGATGGAAAAATTAAGCAATGCATCTGAAATCCGACACGTGACCGCCAAATCGGTAATGTTCACGGCTGCTCGCGACTTTTCCGTCGTATCGACATACCGTGAGGAATCTAATGGCCGCATTCTCATCGCCACACGCTCAGTCGAGTACATCCCTGAGCGTAAGGGCTACGTACGCGCAACGGTTTTAATTTCTGGGTATGTGGTCATCCCTCACCCCACCGATTCAAACATGTGTGAGATGAGCGTTATCGCCCATATGGATCTCGGCGGCAACTTGCCTGCCAGAGTCGTGCGTTATCTTGGTCTCTCCGCACCTATTAAGCTGGTTGAAAAGATTCGTGAGATTGTACTCATTGCATAAGATGACAGGATTCTATTTACTAGATCAAGTTCATGAGTGTCAGATATAACCACTGCAAATTATGTATTATAAATTTTGTATTATCAATCCTAAGGATCCTGATGACAAATTACAACGTAATATTGATCGATGATTTTGATACGGTACTGTTAACTTGTCTTTTATCACGCAGTTCTGGTCTCACTGATGTCAACGTCGTTCTAATTTCTGTACTAGTCGTCGTAGAAGATCTCCGCTGCAACTTACATGCTAACGTCCCATAACTTTCTAAGTTTCGCGAAACAGCCAGTAAACAACTGGGCGACAAACTATTGTCATTTTGTAAGCAATCAAAGCTGCTGATCAGATGCTAAGACGATGATATTATGGAAGAAATAGCCGTCGCTGGAGGTGTGCAATAGTACGATTCTCATTTCACTTTATTTAATTCAAGTATTGGACTTTTGTCTGCGATACACGTCGGCTTTTATTCTCTCGTCAAGCAATAAACCCTGTTTTATTATTATTATTGTATGTAGAAAGTCATATATACTTAGTATTATTCTAGTCAGAATTTGTGATACATATATTACTTGTGAAATAGAAAAGCAAATCAGGAACAGATTTACTCGAGAGACTTTCACTTCGCCCCGGGATCAAGATTATGTATCCATCTTCTACACAATTGCCCACAAGGACTCTCGGAGTCAAAAATGTGAAAGGTGCACGGCCTCGTTGCACACAGTTGCACTAGTAATCAATCCAACGAATGAGTCTTGAAAAGATTGTGTTTTCTGTGAGGACGAATCGCGATTTTTGAATTATCTGACCCATCATAAGGTCACGAAGAGATGTTAAGAAAGCCATAAATTTGCTCCACGTGGTCCGCAGCGCCTCGCGCTTGCGGTTTATAAGCTACCCATGAGTTTTGGATTTTCTGACAGAGATACATTACGATGGTAACACCACGCGAGTTTTTTAACGAATAAGGGATTGCGTTGGCATGCTAACTTAGTTCCTAAAACAACATATTGCGTCACACAGAGTGGTGCTTACCAAAAAGAACAAAATGATGCTATAATTGCTTTTTCTGCGTGAAGCACTAATTTTACGAAAGTACATTAAGAAAGAAAACCCCCTTGGCATTTAATATTTTGAATTCCTGATGATCAAAAGCTCATTAATCTTGGCTTTCAAGCCACGCAATATCTGCGAGAGGTCGCAGCTCAGCTGCAGGTACCGCTTCACGCAATCAGCGTTTTCAAGCTTAAAGTTTCTTAAGACCCACACAAATATCTCCGTCGCAAGACGTACTGTTATTGCATACTGTCCAACTTTTCAACAGAATACCGCCGAACGTGTTTGCAAGGCGCACCTGAATATGTCAGGATTTTAAAAACGATATATGTTGATGTTAGCAAATAACAACTTAATGTCGTCAGCTATCACTCTCTTCAGAGGAAACAAATATATCAGGTTTGAGCTGCATTAGCCACGACCTTCATGAGGTCGTGGTCAGAACTCAACGTTTCCACCGACGAGAATTATGTGAAAAAACTATATACAATCCCGATCCTTCATAACTATTAGCTGAGACAACAGGTAGAGCAACGGACACAAATTTAAAGTGCTGACAGAAGTGTAGTGTTCGCGTATGGAAAATAGTTGTCTCTCGCCTCAGTATAATATGGTTGAGGTCCACCGCTTCTGGTGCGCTCGCATGAGCCTCAACATCTTGCGCTCCAGCCAGCCCTCGCGGCACCAAAGCTGTAGTCTATTATCAACGCAATACAGATTGCTTGTGTACAGAAATGCGGTTGGGCTCGGGTGGTCTCGGTGCGAACTGCTCATGTATAAAGATTATCGACAGAAATGGTAACTGAAGCCGCCACAAATTGGAAATGCTATCTAATTAGCTGTTACAATGCTCAGCCCGTGAATGTAATTTGCTCATTGTTCCTTTCATCGACGTAAAAATAGGTGCTTGAATCTCAACATATATGTAGTACTCCCTGAAGCTATCCCACTACTAAGGAAGACAAAATCTAATTATAAGAGCAAAGAGGACCGAAAATTGGGAAGTCTCGGCTTTGCATCTTAGTGGTATTGGTCGACCCATTCTTTGTCCAACAAGGGAACGATCAATTAGACAAAAGCCGCGCGTGTTCGGGCCGCCTAATCTTACATCAAAGTAATATATCATACAAATGCCAAAATCGGGGTGGCTCATACTAATGTACAAAAGACTCGGTAGTAGCCGCGAATGATCCGTATTTCATGACACACAAATTTATAAATTCCCAGTATTGAAACCTTACACATCTTGCGTCTAGCTCTTTGCGTTGTACGCATTTTCTCAACTGGTGACGGAATCATCGCGATAAACGACACATCCGCAACCACATTATCCCGACTCGATTTTCACCTTTCCTCGAAGGTATACTCGATGATCCGAATTTGCCTTCCTCTTTGAGCGAAAATGTGATGACGTAGCTGGGCAAAATGCCACATGATTTGCTACAAATACAAACGGCCGACTGCCAAGCCGGTGTACTCTGAGCTTGACAAGGTTTGTCGTAAAAGTGTAGCTTATCGCTCACAATAAAATTGATGGGTATCATCTGATAGAATGCATAAAAGCACGCGATATGGGCAGAAAAGGAGTAGTAAATGGGATATTTAGCATCGGCTTTCTTCCAAAACTCTAGCGTCAGGCGGCAGCAATCTACGATCTTCAAAGACCACGAAGTCAGATAGTTGCAGCAAGCCGAGATCATATGAGAAAATACTGGTGAAATTAACAAGAGCAAATATGTGCTGTACCCTTGAGGTTAAATTTCATGAAAACAAGTCAGAGCGACCTATTGCTGCTGTTATTGGAGTTAGCATGAGTCGACTAAGATTTACCAATAGAAGACTAATCCTTGATGTAGTCATGAATGCATTCTCTTTGTCGCAACTAACATCATCGCTAGGCCGGTAGCTCTGCATGATGTCACTGCCATGCAGATCAGTAAAGTTTGGTGGAAAATTTAATTTGCAAACTGGATTGACCAGAGTAGTCTGTGGGTACCCTTGTAGTTTCCAGAGAGAAGCCCCCGTTGAGAAATATTTGGAAGTGATATTTGCAAACCTTGAGGCATGATGAGCTCACCAAATTTGTCACGTTAGTTTGGGACGTCCATAATCCGTCGTGAATGATTTCGTTATTGAAGAAACTCGTGGAAAGTGCGATTGTGGGACGACTACTTTTCAATTTCATGCGGATTACATATACCTTTCATGAAATCATATCAAGTAATTCGCTATTCAAACAGCATGAGCATTGTCTTATATATTAAGTGAAATCATGAGCACCTTTTGTTTCTTACAAGTATGGTCTCCCTAATAGAAACATCAATTTGACTTGATATCCGCATACAAAACAGCAACATGGGCTGCTGATGCAAAATCAAATACAATTACTTTAGCGTTAGATAAAAGGAGTGTTGGTACACAATTCAAGTGGTGTTTTATGTCTGAACCAAGAATGTGATAATAATAACTCGACTGTGTCATGAGGTACGAATGCCTCAATATCTTCCGGTGTCAAACGTATTTTGACGCAAATCGTAATAGCATAGAAATTAAGTCTGGCTCTCCTAAATACAATGCTCCAACACAGGCAAAGCCACTGTCGAATAATATTCGAATTCATGCAATCCACAAATGACAAATGTTGGTACATCAATGGACCAAAAGATTCGAACTGGAAGTGATCGGAGATAAGAATTGGGAGTATCGAGATGGCATCAATCGACAAGACAACACGATTGGAATTCGAAAGATGAAAATCAGCACTAACGCGTAAAATTGAGGTCACGGGTATTCAGTTTTACAGCAATTGACCTCGATTTGAACGTTTGGCTAAAGAAACAGGAGCTATCCTAGCGGCATTTTTCACTACTCCATATTATTTTTGAATAGAGTTGGACACTACAACTAAGTTTACGGACGGCTGAGTAAACTATCGGAATTTAGCAATCAATGAATAAGAGACGCTTAAGAGAAACAACGCCGCCGGTGAAAAGATTGTACAGTGCTTGAAGAGAAGCATACAGGCTACTTCAGCAAAAGCCTGCAAAGGAAAGTGTTAATTATGAGGCTCCATTTCGAAAACTAAAAACAAATGCTGCTGATAGGGCACGTATACTAGAGCAGAAACAACAGATGATGAAATCACCACAGCCATAAAGAAAATCGATCAAATATGAATACTCTATAAGCGTTGCGTGGATTTATAAAAATGATGGATGTGGAAGAAGCGCCTGCGCAGTCAGCTTCAGCATCAAAACTGACTATATTCTCTTTGTTATCAAGGTCGTTAAGCTTCACAAACGTCGAAATGGTAAGCCAAACGTCAATCTAGAGGAAAATACGGTCGTTTCTCGAGACACGTAAGGAAGAGCGAACCAATAAATACGATGGCAGAAATCAAATAATCTATTACTTCAGTTTGATAATGTCGACTCATAAGTTTTATTCAAAAGAAGCGAATGAAATCGTGCATCAAAAAGCTATTGCATTTATCGGTTTAAGAATTGAATGCACCCGATCGGCGAGAACAACTTACGACTGAGGATCCTTCTTCCACTACGAACAGAGGGCAAGACACCCTGTTCTGTTCAAAGCAACACCAGTTTCGCAGAAAATAGAAATTAAAAGAAGTGTCTACGTAAAGATTAAGTCAATGGATCGTAGAATCTTTCGAAACTGTTTGCCGTGGGGCTGCCGTAGCTCTCTCAAACTTAGTTATGGTTGGCGACCTTCGTTCTATATTTAGAACCAGTACGACTGTAGGGGATAACAATCAGCTTATTCCAAGATACAATCTCAATTCAAGGCTAATCAGCTCTTCCGTTTAGAATGTCAATTGTATTTCGCGGTTTGATTTGCGGCAAAGTAGCCTTTACCTAAATCTATGGGTTTTCCTGATTATAAAGTAATACCTAATTAAATGTAAAACTACTGGCTGTTCCAGCCACGTACTGACTTGTAGCTACACTATTGTGTGATCAAACCATCTTGTGTGACCCCGTTACACCCCTCATCAAGATGGTCAACTCCTACAGTTCTTAGTCAAAGGTCGCCTCGAACGAGGATCGCGGGTCTAAGACACCACAACATCACCGGGACCCTCAACCATTTGTTTGCCCTGTGTCGTGGGCACAAAAGACACCCAGCCCCGCTGGTTTCGAGAACGCCTACGAGCAGAGCCGTTTTCTGCCTCCTGCACGTGATGCAACTCCGGACATTATGTCCGAGACTTTAGGGGAAGCGCAGCCCAAGCTCTCGGTAACCGAGTATGCCCGCCACGGTCGATGGTATACCTCGTTTGGAGTCTGAAGGAAGTCGACTATGAGTCGGATACTCCTTTACCAGCATGGGAAGAAGAAGACGAGGTGCCCCGGGAGCGCGACGTGAGCCTGGAGGTGGTATCAGTGCCAATCACTTTGACGAGGTACAGAAGCAGCAGCAGCAAAGTACTGCCCGCAGGGCGGCTCTCATGCACTCGCATCCACATTTATTCCTTGACCCTCGTGTGGAATACGGATTTTGCTGGCGGATTCCGCTCCAGGCAATGGACGTGATCACTCGATCGACGTGGTCGGGCCCCCCACTACACCAGCTGGGCTTGACCAAAACCTCTCTGAGCTCGCTTCATTCTACCTCATGAAATCCAAATGGAATTGTACCGCACTCGGTTTCGTTCTCAAAGAGAAGGCACCCTATACCCGCGATGGGGATAAATCATGCGATGCTCGCCCCTGACAAAACCGCTGCAGATGACGAAGAGCTCTTTAAGCGATGGGTGGAAACTTTTCTCGCTGCACAGCTCACAGTTGAGCCACAAGGGAGGTGGACGCGCGTATGAAGGTCATCTTCGGTTTGAGTTTGCCAAACTCAAGGTGTGCTGCCGGCTTCCTTCGGGTTGTCGCCGGCGACGTATGGGTTGATGCAGCACACTCCCGCGAATTCTTGTCTCTCACACGGGTGAATTTGTGACCGCAGCGGCTCAGGGCCATAGCGTGAGCTTAGCTCATGGCACTTTGGCTTTCCAGGCTATTG